GACTTACCCCTGCAGTGAAATGCTAGTCCCCCCCCCCCTGCCTCTGGGGTCACTCACATGCCTTTGGGGGGGTCAGGGGGATGCTGCATCAGTTTCTCCCTAGTGCACAGATGAAATTGTATTTGGTGCCTGTCCTGGTTATAAAAATTATCTCAACTGCTTTTTTTTTCTTCTAGGAAATAGTTTGCCAAATTGTGTGCTATTAGCTGAGAGGATACTGCATGAAACACTGATGTAATTTCCTTTTTCCTAACTTTGGGAGATAATAGCGGCTTTGTTTTAAGCAGTAACACTTACAACCATAAAGCAGGCCAGTTGACTCCATATCAATTCTTTAAAGTAAATCTGTTGCCTTGTAAGTACTTTTACCTTCAGTTACATACTGTGTGTTTAACTATATTCATGAATGCTCTAGGTGCTTCAAAACGCCAAGTCCTCTGTTATGCAGATTCCAGCTGCTGGTAAAGTCAAGTGCTGAGGCCACCACCACCCACACCTCCCACAGCTCACTGTTGACCACTGAGGTTACCCATTACCATGATGGGGCTGTAGCATCGTGCAGGAGGCTGGAAAAGGCAAACAGTTCTCTAGGCTGGGAATATATGCATAATAGGGTGCCCCAGGTTTCAGTGATGTTTACATGCAGGGACCTCTAAAAGCCTGCATTTTATGCACGCCGGTACTTTAAACAGCTTTCATGAGACAATAGGTTTACAATAAATAACTACTGACTCCAACATATTCTTCAGAATTCCATCATCCTAATCTTTTAATATCCAGCAACATGACATGTGTTTTTGAAATATGAATTGATTTGCAAGTATTTTTATGACACGTTTGACCATTGTAATGCTTGAAAGCAGCTTATGCTAATATGCATAGACTAGATATGGATCCACTATGACAGATCAGTACCATAGAGCCGATAAGCAGCGTGCTATGATTCCATTGAAGAAGACAGCAGAAGGCAGCAAATGATCTTCAGATGGCTGACTTCACCCTGCGGCAAGCACTGCCCCTTTTCTTCATATTACAACAGATGGAGTTGCCTGAAGGAATTTTTATTATTGCATTCAGCACTTATTTATATTGCCCTCTCTGTTCCCACATGAGCAGAAGTCATCTTTTATCAAGCTCTTCTGCTGCTTGGTCAAAAATATGACAGAAACGGATGCTGAAATCGCCACTGACAGTCTGTATCATGCATTTATTTGCACTCCTCTCCTCTCCTGACCTTATTACAGAGAATGGATGAATGAAAAGGGCACAACCACTTACAGATCAGATAGTAACCAGAACACATTTAACCTTTCTGAAATTCTCTTACATACTCTACCTAGAAATATAAAATATGGTAACCTGTGTAGTACAATATTGTGCCTACCCTAAAGTAGAAATTTAGCAGTCACAACAGTTCTTCAATTAAATTATACATTAATGTCAAGTAGGGGTGCACCAATACCCTTTTTTCCAGACCAAATACGAGTACCGAGTACTTTTCCCTCAAGTATTCACTGATGGCAATAACTGATAATTTTTTGTTTTTTTAGTTTCATGTGGCAGTTTTTCCAAAACAATACAGATCAATGATTTTAGGAAAGTGGTGGAGCGCCAGGGCCGGGTCACAGCTGCAATCCTTGTAGTTCTGCCACTGACTCTAAGTTGTAGATGGACTACAAATCCCAGCAATGCATTATACAGTAATGCAGAATGGCACCTGCTATAGAGGACTACAAATTCCAGAAATACATTATACAGCAATGCAGAATAATATCATCAGCTATAGAGCACTACAAATCCCAGTAATACATTATACAGTAATGCAGAATGGCACCTGCTATAGGGGACTACAAATTCCAGCAATACATTATACAGCAATGCAGAATAATATCAGCTATAGAGGACTACAAATCCCAGCAATACATTATACAGTAATGCCAAATGGAAACCGGCTATAGAGGACTACAAATCTCAGCGATGCATTATACAGCAATGCTGAATGGCAACTGGCTATAGAGGACTACAAATCCCAGCAATATATTAAACGGCAATGCAGAATAATATGAAGCTACATACTCTATGCTGCCAGCCTGATGTCTCCAGCAGAGGATCTCTGGAGGGCTGCAGAGGGTCTCAGGTGGGCTGTAGAGTATCTCAGGAGGGCTGTGCGGGGTCTCGCAGCCAGCAGGGTTCCCCAGGAAGGAGGAGGAGGTGTGCGGCCGGCGATGTAAACTGCGTGGTTCACAAGACGGCTGCCAAGGTCCCCAGCAAGCGTGGGACCTCAGGCAGTCGCTTAGTTTAAAAATGTAAAGTGCTGGTATCAGCATTTAATATCAGGGCATTGTACTAGTGAAAATGCCCAGTATTAGCACCAATACTGGTATTCGTATCAGTGCATCCCAAATATCAAGCTTCATCCAGGCATCAAGAGGACGCTTAACTGTTCAGATTTTCCTTGCAATTTTTCCACTGCAGTGCCTGACATGTATTGCATTCAGTAGCTGCATGAAACCAGAGCTGTACTACACTGGTAAATGTCACACATCTACAGGTGCTCTGGCTAGCTGAGAGCTGCTCTAGAGCTACTCGGGCACAACTGATCAGTGAACCTCTGTTAAAAAATAAAGGGGATTCCTTCTTTCTTAATAAAAGTACAAATCTTCTGAAATGCTTTGCCACGCGCTGCCACAGTTAAATTGTTATTGTGAAAAGAAAAAATCAAGCACTGCAATGTGTTCTAACAAAACACTGCAGCGCATGTTTCATGGTGCACACCACAATATGGTGCACACTGTTGCACGTGTATAATGTGTGTGGGGGTTGTGTTTTATTATTTTATTTTTTTACTGTTGGGGAACTATCAGGGGTCTAAACAGACCCTTGACATTTCCCTTTTAAAATGGAGAAAGAAATTGAGGACACAGAATACTCTATCTCTTTTTCTGCAGCCTCATTGTTAAATGAATGGAAAGCACTTAGTACAGAGACTTCCCATTCATTCAGAAACTGGTGATCGTAAATATTTTACTATCATCCAGGTATGAATGGGTAGAAGCCTTTATAGTGAGTGCAACTACCCATTCAGAAACTCATGAATGAACAGGAAGTGATGTAAAG